AGACAAAGGCGGTCGGGAATGGTGCTAGCCTCCTACCCCCTCACGTGCCACAGTGTTGGCCTTCACAGGTGCTGCTACCTGCTAACAGCACTTGACCCAACAGTCTGCTAAGGCTACACGGGGGATCTTTGTCGTTGTCTCCGCTAGTCAGGGCTCTGCTGTTATCGAGTGATACAAGAAGATCGATATAAGTTGTTTTTACTGCCTTAAATGTGAACAGCTGATTAATACAGAGGCCGGTTGCTATGGAGACACGCGCCACAGTCACTATGCATGGGCACGTGCGTGGTGACGTCACAATCAGTGACTACTTCAGCACAAACCGGCTGTGTGTTAGAGAGTGAGCCCACTGCAACGTTGACAATTTGAGTTCCATGACGTCTCGCTGGTGACTACAACAACAAGCAGCTGCATCGGGCGATTTGTCAGGCAAGGCCCACTGAGCTATGCGGCCCTTTCATAGTTCTACTCACAGAAGCGACCTCGCCACACGTGACGACAGCTTAATGAAGTGGCTCATCGCGTAGAAATGTATTGTAGCCTAATACTAATAATACTAAATGTTGAGGTAAAACCGGAAAAATCCACGCGACTACAGGGAGGGAGAGACACGGAAACTCCAAATATACAGCAGGCGTCAGGTTTGGGACCGAACCCACGACCTCCTGTACACCAGGCGAGGTACTCAACATCTCCTAGCCGCCATGGCGCTTTGATGTGGAATGATGCTCTGAGCCTTGTGTCAGTGTCTTGTGCACCAACATACTTTACATCCTAGTGTCACTCTTTAGTTGGCTGTTGGTATCCTGAACAGAAATGAATAATAATCGATTGCTACTTTCTGAAGATCATAAAATATGAAGGAGGAGAGGGAGCAGATGGAGGGGGAGGACGGGGAGGAGGAAGAGGGAGGGAGGGGGGGGGGCGAAGGAGAGGGAGGGGAGGAGGAGGGGGTAGGAGGAGGGGGGGAGGGGTAGGAGAAGGGGGGAGAGGGAGGGCGAAGGGGGAGGAGGGACGAAAAGAGGGTGAGACACTCTGTAAGTGTAGCGATGGCAGTGGAATGCAATCGCTGAGCACGCTTCACAAGCATCTTGATGAACACCGAGCGATGGAAACCGGCTTATGACGAAGCCTTTTGAAGGCGAGGGTGACGCTAGGGGCTGCGAGGTGGCCAGATGGCGCCACATGGAGCAGGTTCGTGACACCCTCCTTGACGCTCCTCGCCTTCGTCTCCATGACGCTCCCTGCGGTCGTGACGCTGAAACGACGTCGTGGGCAGTAGGGGGCAGTGCAGCGACATCCGTGGCTGGCCCTGTGCTGTGATAGTCTCTCAACGTCTGTACACGTGTCCCGTCTTCACAACCCACGCTTGGCAGAGTGGCAAAGTACGGTCAAAGAACTCCGATAACCCGCACGGCATGGAGCGGCCTCTGTCCGTGTGCATATCTATGTACGTGCGAACTTCTTTCGCACCGTACATCGCCAACCATGCTAATGGGAAGTGTGTGAGTCCAGGAGTGGGTTGACAACAACAACAACAACAAGAACGATTATTTCAACTTGTAGCACGCTGCACGGTAAGTCGCTCGCTCTCGTGCAGAGAGGACGACCTCAGAGGCGCCAGGAGGGAGGATCCACAGACGAGAAGCAGGATAGGCTGCAGCCAGGTGGTGAGGAGCCGGGGCCGCCAACGATTGCCCCGAAATCTGCGCTCCTCCTCTACAAATTCAAGTGGCGTCGGGCAAGTTTTTTTTAGGGGCTTAAACATTTCTGGGAGAACGTAGAACCCAGATGGAGGGAGGGGAGGGTGAGGAAGGGAGGAGGGAGGGGGGATTGAGGGAGGGAGGGAGTGGAGGGAGGGAGTGGAGGGAGTAGAGGGAGGGAGTGGAGGTAAGGACGGAGAGAAGGAGGTAGTGAAAGGCGTTGAGGGAGGGAGAGAGGGGAGATGTCGGGGAGGCTGACCCCCGGCTCCTCGCTCACGGGGGATCCACTGCTCCCCTCTTCCGTGTCCAAGGGAGGGTTACTGCTCACCGACTCCACCCCCCCTTCCCTGCGGCCCCTCGGGGCATGTTTCATGGCTGGCGCTTAGCCACCTGGGATCAATTCAGACAATCTCTGCGCACACTCACTTACACCCACTCACTCGAAATCCGACATCGCTCCTCTCCCGTGCCACGCACCCATCACGCGCACGGGACTCGGGGTCGGGGGTCAGAGGGCAGGGACGTCACTCGCACACACGCAGCCGATTGGGGGGTTGTCTCGGAGATTTATTTAAATGGCTGTATGAACAAACTCACGGGTACGCCGCCCGTTCACCCCACGCACACACTAAACAAAAGGCCGCACACATAATCTCGCGTGTACGCCGCCTGTTAGCCTCACGCACATGTTAAACAAAAGGGCATATGTGTAATCTGACGTGCCCCTGTACGAGTCCGCCGCCGTTCACCACACGCAGTTGCTAACCACGAGCTACACGCATGGGCGAGCGCAAACACGTGGGTAAATACACACTCACGCACAAACACAGGGTACAACGAAACCAATCGACAAGGTTTATTGATCCCCAACAGTTTATTCTCAGCGAGACTGAGGCTAAATTACCCGAGTCAGTTTGAGTCAGCAGGGCAGATCTAACCTCTCTCCCGATGGTCTAAGACCCGATCTGTATCGGCTCTTTCAAATCACTCACCTAAGACAATCTCACAATTGCCTCAATATCTCACTCTCGGGTACTCACAGTTCGATTCGTACGGAGCTGCTGGGTCGGATCCTCCCTGCACTTCGACTCATCACATGGATATTCGAGTGGCTGGAAAGTCGACGGCCCCAAGCCTGGCTTGAGTACAATACGAACCAACTCTCCCTACCTTCTCTACCCTTTTTATTGTCCTCTACATCAAAGATAAATCGGCGCTGAACCGCTGGCTTCCCGTCCAATCAAGTGGCTCGGATTTCCCGCCACTCTGCCCGGACTGGTGCTCTCTCAGACATCCGGTTTTCATCCTCTAAACAAGCGGATCTGTCCTACCAATCAGAGGACCGGTCCTGTTTTTCCCGCCGTTCGTGACACCATCCCCCCCTACCTGCCTGCTGACCCGTTTGTGTTGTGGGTGTTTTCTATCCACGGTGGCTCAGCAGCCCCATCGTGACCATGTAATTACGACCCAAGTTTTGGTTGTGGTTGTTGTTGTGATTGTTGTGGTGGTTGTAGTTGTTGTGGTGGTTCTTGTGGTTGTTGTGGTGTTGGTTGTGGTGGTGGTGGTTATGGTGGTGGTGGTTGTTGTGGCTGTTGTGCTGGTTGTCGTGGTGGTCGTGGTGGTGGTTGTGGTGGTCATTGTCGTGACGGTTGTAGTGGTGGTTGTGGTAGTTGTTGTGGTGGTTGTTGTGGCGGTTGTGGTTGTTGTTTCGATTGTTGTGGTGGTTGTTGTGGTTGTTGTGGTTGTTGTGGTGCTGGTTGCGGTGGTTGTGGTGGTTGTTGTGGTGGTTGTCGTGATGGTTGTGGTGGTGGTTGTTGTGGTGGTTGTGGTTGTTGTTGTTGTGGTGGCTGTGGTGGTTGTTGTGGTGCTGGTTGTGATGGTGGTTGTGGTGTTGGTGATCGCTGTGGTGGTTTTGGTTGTTGTTGTTGTTGTGGTGGTTGTTGTGGTGGGTTTTAAGGTGGTTGTGGTGGTGTTTGTTGTAGTGGCGGTTGTGGTGGTGGTTGTGGTGGTTGTGGCTATGTTGGTGGTTGCTCTGGTTGTGGTTGTGGAGGTGGTTGCGGTGGTTGTTGTGGTGGTGGATGTGGTGGTAGTTGTGGTGGTAGTTGTGGTGGTTGTTGTGGTGGTTGTGGTGGTTGTTGATGTTGCGGTGGTGGTGGTGCTTGTGGTGGTTGTTGTGGTGTTTGTGGTGGTTGTTGAGGTTGTGGTTGTGTCGGTTGTGGTGGTTGTGGTGGTGGTTCTGGTGGTGGTTGCTGTGGTGGTGGTTGTGGTTGTTGTGGTCGTGGTTGTGGTGGCGGTGCTGGTGGTTGTTGTGTTTGTGGTGGTTGTTGTGGAGGTGGTTGCGGTGGTTGTTGTGGTGATGGTTGTGGTGGTGGTTGTGTTGGTGACGATTGTGTTGGTTGTGGTTGTTGTCATGGATGTTGTTATTGTTTTGGTTGTTGTAGTGGGTATTAGGGTGGTTGTGGTGGTTGTTGTGGTGGTTGATAGAGTGTTGGCGATTGTAGTGGTTGTTGTGATGGTGGTGGCGGTTGTGGTGGCGGTTGTGGTGGTGTTTCTTGTGGTGGTTGTGGTTTTTGTTGTGGTGGTGGTTTTGGTGGCGGTTGTGGTGGTTGTTGTGTTTGTGGTGGTTGTTGTGGAGGTGGTTGCGGTGGTTGTTGTGTTGATGGTTGTGGTGGTGGTGGTGATTATTGTGTTGGTTGTGGTTGTTGTTGTTCTGGTTGCTGTGGTTATTGTGGTGGTTGTTGTTGTGGGTATTACGGTGGTTGTGGTGGTTGTGGTTGTTGTTGTGGTGGTGGCTGTGGTGGCGGTTGTGGTGGTTGTTGTGTTTTTGGTGATTGTTGTGGTGATGGTTGTGGTGGTTGTGATGATTGTGTTGGTTGTTGTTGTTGTGGTTGTTGTTGTTATTGTGGTGGTTGTTGTTGTGGGTATTATGGTGGATGTGGTGGTTGTTGTGGTGGTTGATAGGGTGTTGGCGGTTGTAGTGGTTGTTGTGGTGGCGGTTGTGGTGGCGGTTTTGGTGGTGTTTCTTGTGGTGGTTGTGGTGGTTGTTGTAGTTATTTTGGTAGTTGTTGTGGTGGTTGTTGTTGTGGTGGTGGCGGTTGTGGTGGTGGCGGTTGTGGTGGTGGTTGTGGTGCTGGTTGTGGTGCTGGTTGTGGTAGTGGTTGTAGTGGTTATTGTCGTGGTGGTTGTGGTGGTGGTTGTGGGAGTGAGCGTGGTGACGTCACCACGTCCATGACGCAGCAGCAGCAGACGACTTGAACAGCTGGGACATTGTTGGTGCCTTTGGTGTTTGGTGCCGTCTCTTTCATTATTAATTTGTAGATTTAATTTGCTTGGCAGTGGCTGTGTAGACGATTTGGTCCTCGTGTTTAATTAATGAACAGTGAGCACGAATGTCACTGTACACAACTACATTGTTGTTGTATGTGTTGTCTGTTTTTATTGTAGAATCGACGATACAAGCGTTACAATGCCACTGTCGTACGCATACATTTATACATTTTAAAATCAATATTATTGTTTTGACATAAAACTTTTCTTGACTGATGACGACCGCTTGTGTTGCGATATAAAACGTCATGAGCTTTGGGTTTTATATTTTAAATTTGTATTTAATGTTTATTATTAATTTGTTTCTTTTTTTACCTTTTTTGTTATCTTCGTGACTTTACCAACGAGGGTGGCGAGCGCCGTGCGTCGTGGCGTCGTGGCGTCTATCCTCTGCGCTGTTCATGTTCACCTCTCTCAGGACGTACCACTCAGATCCACAATCCTCACTGACTCACCAACTATACCATACCACAACCCCCCAAACAACCCCCAAAACAACCCCCTCCCCACCGCCAGCCCAGGGTGTAGGGGCTGAGTGAATGTGTGGTGAAACGAGTGCAAAGGCTCCATGGAGTCAGCGTTGTAAAACGACAGCAGCCCCGCGTCCCAGTCCAGGTGGACCCCGACTCTCGGCGGAGGCTGCGGCACCGACAGTGACGTCTCTACCCCGCCATGCAGCACTGAGAAGCTGTCACCAAGTTTCTGTAGACACCAGGAGACGTCACTCTCTCCCAGGAGGCACTCTGCATCACTCCCTCTCCGTGGGATCGTCCCGTACGCAACTCCAACTCGACAACACCGCCTCGCGCTCCCCACGTCCACCTCCCAGTAGTGCTGACCGGACGAGAAGCTCTCAGAGCACAGCGCTTGTGACCAGCGTTCAAAGCGGTGTGGGTGCTGGGGGCGACCCTGGGGGACACCACTCAGCGTCGCCGTCCTGAGATCCGAGGAAATCTGGAGGTCGTCGTGAGCTGAGTTTGTGTCCAGAGTCGGTGAGCGTCCATCTGTGGTGAGTATTCGTGCACACACACTAATATTAGTTAGTAGTAGTGTACACACACTAATATTAGTTAGTATTAGTGTACACACACTAATATCAGTTAGTATTAGTGTACACACACTAATATCAGTTAGTATTAGTGTACACACACTAATATCAGTTAGTATTAGTGTACACACACTAATATCAGTTAGTATTAGTGCACACACACTAATATCAGTTAGTATTAGTGTACACATACTAATATTATTTAGTATTAGTGTACACATACTAATATTAGTTATTATTAGTGTACACACACTAATATTAGTTAGTATTACTGTACACACACTAATATTAGTTAGTATTAGTGTACACATACTAATATTAGTTAGTATGAGTGTACACATACTAATATTATTTAGTATTAGTGTACACATACTAATATTAGTTAGTATTAGTGTACACATACTAATATTAGCTAGTATTAGTGTACACACACTAATATTAGTTAGCGTTAGTGTACACACACTAATATTAGTTAGTATTAGTGTACACACTAATGTTAGTTGGTATTAGTGTACACAGTGTACACACTAATATTAGTAAGTGTTAGTGTACACACACTAATATTAGTTAGTATGAGTGTACACATACTAATATTATTTAGTATTAGTGTACACATACTAATATTAGTTAGTATTAGTGTACACATACTAATATTAGCTAGTATTAGTGTACACACACTAATATTAGTTAGCGTTAGTGTACACACACTAATATTAGTAGGTATTAGTGTACACACTAATGTTAGTTGGTATTAGTGTACACACTAATATTAGTAAGTGTTAGTGTACACACACTAATATTAGTTAGTATTAGTGTACACACACTAATATTAGTTAGTATTAGTGTACATTTAGTGTTGTAAAGACGAATAAACTTCTTAGGAAGCACACTCTGTTTATTTTAATCCTTCTCTTACACCGTCCTTAACACACAAAGGGGTATACGGTGCCCTCACCCGATACCCTAAGGAGGAACAGCCTCCGGACTTAGCTTGGCGGGACTTGCACGTCTACCGCTAACCTCCTTGATACCTAAGGAGATACAGCCTCTGGACTTGGCGGGACTTACACGTCTACCGCTATCCTAGCCTAGAGTCCTCCGGCTTGGACCTAGGGGAGGCTATCTGACCCACCGCTGGCCCGGTGGGTCGTGACCACTGGCTCTGCCGAACCTTAGCCCTCAAATGGGCTGGAAGGCTGGTCCAGGGTCCTGGCTAGTCTTCAGCCCAGTCTTCGGTCTTCGTGTAGGGAGAGAACTCCCCGAGCTCTGTTGGGTCACCCTTCTTATACTCGTTCGTGGCCTGATATAACCAATCACACATTCACAAGTGGTACTGGCCGATTGATTCTCAGAAAACTGTGGCTACGATCCACTTCACCTCGTCTGACCCCAACCGTTGTGTACCCCGAGGTAACGCTGCACTGCACCCTTGACACCTGGTGGAAATGCAGTTTACCGAATAGTGCGTGGTTAATGCCTCTACATACACACACTAATATTAGTTATCATTAGTGTACACATACTAATATTAGTTACTATTATTAATATTAGTTAGTATTAGTGTGCACACACTAATATTAGTTAGTATTATTGTACACAAACTATTATTAGTTAGTTTTAGTATATACACACACTAATATTCGTTAGTATTAGTGTGCACATACTAATATTAGTTAGAATTAGTGTACACATACTAATATTAGTTAGAATTAATGTACACACACTAATATTAGCTGGTATTCGTGTACACACACTAATATTAGTTAGTATTAGTGTACAAAAACTAATATTAGTTAGTATTAGTGTAAACACTGATGTTAGTTAGTATTAGTGTACACATTAATATTAGTTAGTATTAGTTTACACTTAATAATATTAGTTTGTATTAGTGTACACTTACTAATATGTGTTAGTATTAGTAATATTAGTTAGCATTAGTGTACACTTACTAATATTTGTTAGTATTAGTGTACACAAACTAATATTTGTTAGTATTAGTGTACACATATTAATATTAGTTAGTATTAGTGTACACATACTAATATTAGATAGTATTAGTGTACACATACTAATATTAGTTAGTATTAGTGTACACAAACTAAAATTAGTTAGTATTAGTGTACACACACTAATATTAGTTGGTATTAGTGTGCACATACTAAAATTAGTTAGTATTAGTGTTCACACACTGAAATTAGTTAGTATTAGTGTACACACACTGAAATTAGTTAGTATTAGTGTACACACACTAATATTAGTTAGTGTTAGTGTACACAATCTAATATTAGTTAGTATTAGTGTACACACTAATATTAGTTAGTATTAGTGTACACACTAATATTAGTGAGTATTAGTGTACACACACTAATATTAGTTATTATTTGTGAACACACACTAATATTAGTTAGTATTAGTGTGCACATACTAAAATTAGTTAGTATTAGTGTACACACACTAATATTAGTTAGTATTAGTGTACACACACTAATATTAGTTAGTGTTAGTGTAGACAAACTAATATTAGTTAGTATTAGTGTACACACACTAATATTAGTTAGTATTAGTGTACACACACTAATATTAGTTAGTATTAGTGTAGACAAACTAATATTCGTTAGCATTAGTGTACACACACTAATATTAGTTAGTATTAGTGTTCAGATTAATATTACTTAGGATTAGTGTACACACACTAATATAAGTTAGTATTAGTGTACACAAACTAATAATCGTTAGTTTTAGTGTACACATACTAATATTAGTTAGCGTTAGTGTACACATATATATGGCCCCTTTTCCATCTTGATATTAACAAGTTATTTTTCGATACATATAGATACATATTTCTATTGTTTTTTTTTTAAATAATGATAAAAAACAACCCAACCCAGGCCGTCAGCATGGCATGTGGAGGTCATGGACGGGCCATGGAATTAAATAAATAATTATTACCAGGGTCAGAGATCACAGACCAAGTGCTGAAGCAGGCAGACGAAAACCAGCACTGACTCCAAGAACACTCCCCCACCACAGCGAGACTAAATTAATGAGGAACCTTGAGATGCACGGCGTGTGTAGACCGGATAAAGGCACAGCCCTGAAGAAGGACGGGAGAGACCCCGCCGCGCGTCTTTGCTAAAGTTGGCAGTTGCACGATAATGGGGTAGAGAGTGGGGGCCAGAGAGTGTGGGGAAAAGACTGAGAGAAACCGCGACCAGGAATAAGGGCGAGCAGAGAAGAGATGCTTGGAATGAAAGAATCGGCACTAGCTGCACCAGCAAAACCCCCAGATGTTGATACACATAACACATACGGGAGTGGCAGTTTACCACACTCCGAGCCATATGGACGTAACCCAGGGACGGGTTCCACAAAAAGAATGGCTACCATGCAAAGCAATTTTAATAAAGAAACCCCCTCGCAATTCTAGGGGAGGGAAGGAGAAATACGGATAAAAACATGAAAACATGAGGCTGAAAACTTCGAGGTAAGAGAGAGACAGAATATTAACCCTAAGTCACCAGGATATTACGTATTGATAGAGCAAAAAAGGGCGGAGCTGGGGCGAGGCGAGTGACAAGACAAGTCAGATCACTTGGTAGACACATTCCACGCAAGCACAACCGACGTGGAATCTATGGCAGAGATTACTTTCCAGAAAGACGCACATCACACAACCATGAGCCATGGGATAAGCAGGAGTCACCGAGCAAAGTTGACTCACATTACAGGTGCAAAAGGCACTACAAAAGTTATGTTAAGCAGCGCCACCGTGATGGTGACAGCTCATATGAATCTGACGCCTCTGACGATGATCAACTGTCAGAATACTCATTCAGTAGTAAGACTCTGAAATTGATGGACAAAGCTCTCGTCAGAATTCCCTACTTCGATCCACACGACAAGAACAGGGATATACACACACATCGCAACGGTGGAAGCAGAAGCACTGATCAGGGATTTGAGTAAAACGGATGAGAAAGCCAGTTTACTGAAACGTAGCTTGCACGAGCAGTCAATACAATGGGTAAAGTCGCTATCATGTAAGATTCGGAACGATTTCAAAAAGCTGAGCCTGGCAGTGATTCGGAAGTTTGGAGAATATTTAACATGGTCTGAGGGATTTAACGCTGCAAAATCTATGACCCAGTGTGCAGACGAGGATCCGCGAGATTACCTCCTACGGTTTAAAAGAGCGTACTGTGCGGGTGATGTGGATCAGTATCACGAAGGTGACAAAAGGTTCAAAGTTATGTTTTTCGGGTCCTTGAGTCCAGAGATTACAGAGATTGTGGGAATGGTCTTGAATTCAGAGACAGCCTCCTGAGACCACATAGAGGATAAGGCTCACAGAGCTTGGCTGTACAGAGCTAAAGACAATAACTCTCCAACACCCAGGGAAAGCGATAATGTAACCAACGTTTCAGAGGGAAATATAAATCACGAGAGCAGAAACACAACACCACCAGCGAGGCAATGGCCCACAGGCTGGGAGCGATCACAACGTGCAGGGACGCATATTTGCGAGAATCGCGGTGTGTGTAGACCGAGAGCAGAATCATGCCAGTTCCCAATGCCACAACACACGAAAGGTCAAACACAATCTGCCCACTTCCGATCGATCCCACCATCAGCTTTACCAGGAGAGAGCAGAGGCATGAGAAATAGGGAGACAGGTGTGAGCTTGGCTGAGACAAAACAATGACACGGGCACGTGATGAATCAATCACATTGGTTGAGAGGGAGCTTTCAGTGAGAGCGGTGTCCGCTGAGCTGCAGGGAAATCACAGACTCGTTAAAGAAATTAAGCAGGCTGCTGGTGACAAGGCAAACCAGGAGGGTCACAATGATTGTGAAAAACTAAATGCGTCGTGTGCCAATTATGATAATGTGGTGGAAAACGCAACAGTCGCTCCCGTGGTTGACACACCAATTGAACAAGAAAAAGTTACTATT